GGGGGTTCATGGGCATGTAGATAATCTCTGGTTCCTGAAAGGTGTGGTAGACATGAGTCCAAAGCCTGCTTAAAAAAATAAATGGATTTATGCTATTTTAATTCCAAGTAACTCTTTTTAACTTGTCTTTCTAACACAATGCATTGTGTTAAGTCTTAAAACACACACAGTTGTTTGATCTTTTCATTTCTCCAAAAGGCATCCCTTCTTCACCTTCATGGTGGCAACCTACAGGGTCTGCTCCCACTGACACCATGCCAAGCCAAGCCAGTTTGGGGGGAAATAGGCTAAATTTCTAGAAAGGGGGTAATGCTCAAAGGGAAAAAGAAATATTCTCATCTCCTGGGCCGGAGTCCAAGTTTCCACTTTAGAGGGACTTTAGCCTATTTAGAAGTGTGTCTAATGCATAGATAACGAATGTCTTCTCTGAAATGTCACATGCCCCTCTTGTGATGGAGACTTCATCTGGGCATAGAGATTTCTTCCCTGTTTTGAACATTATAGCAGAGAGCATGGGAAGTGGGTCTTATTCTATCTCCACTGTCAAATTATTTTATAATTTGTTCTTGCCCATTATGCAGCCTAAAACAACTCTCAAAACAATGGTGGAAAAGCCACCAAGATCTTTCTTAAAGGACATTTTATTCTTCCCTCATTGGAAAATTTCCTCTAGTTCTGAGGGCTAAGGAAAACAGAGCCTCAGCACAAACAAAGCCAGACTCTAAATCCAGACCACATTTCCTTTCCTATAGTTGATGATGATAAGAAATGACGTGCTAAGAAATGACGTGCTCTCTCCCAGGCAGTAGAAACGTAACACAGTCAGGGCACCGCCTCACTCTTTGGTTCAGAGACAAGATTAGGGAAACAGAATCTTCACGTGGGATTGCTATAAACTGGGTTATGAAACTAGGTCATCTTATCTTTAGAAACTTTGAATGAAAGGCCAGGGGAGGCAGGTGTGTGTGTGCCTGTGCAAGTACGTGTGTTCCCATTTTTGTCTTGTTTCAAATGACAAGTCCTAGCAGACCTGCGCCTTCTTCACAAGCTTCAGGTCTCAGCATCTTTACCTTCGGGTTTGGGTGTCATCACCAAAAGTGACTCCCACCCAGCAGTTTTCCCCACTCCCATTCCCATTTCAAAAACTGTCAGGTTAATCAAGAGATCAGATTGCTCAGAGCATGGGACTACCCGGCTATAAACCACGGAAGGTCCTGGACCTGGTCAGCCCTGTTAATAGTGGGAAAAGAGTGATTTCATGCACTCTCACCAGTCCTTTATTTACCCAAATTGTGAAAATTGTAAGGTAAATTACACTGGTTGTTGGGGGAAATCATAGAATCCTACAACTTCATAGGTCAGTAAGAGTATCAGGCCTGATCTTCTATCCTTTGGCAAGTAATTAGCTAACCTGACACTGTCCAGTAGACATATATATCAGGTGTAGAGTAATTCTAAATTTTCTAGGAGCCACATTGAAAAAAGCAAAAAGAAATAGCTAAAGTGAATTTTAACACCATGTTTTGTTTTACCAAATATGTCAATAATATTACAAATTCAGCATGCGATCAATATAAAAATGATCAATGAGACAGTTCACATTCCGTTTTCACACAGAGTCTTCAGAATTTGCTCTGAAGTTTACACTGACGGCACATCTCAATCAGGCTGACCACATTTCCAGTGCACGACAGCCATCTGCTTACTGATTAGCACACATGCAAACCACCCAAGACAGGTTTCACCTATTATTATCGTGAAGATTTTTTTCCTTTCTGAATTTTTAGGGACATTTACATAGGATTCCTATTTGTAATCTTCTTACTGTTTTAAACACTTTTTACGAGTAAGTATCTTCATTTTGTGTAAATTATTGGCTGCTGGTGTCAATGCACTCTGTCTGTCTTATTCAGTCTATAACACTCCCCCATTCCCAACTTTTCTATTTTGCTTTTTTACCTATAACTATTACTAGGACTTCAGTAGAACTTGAAGGCAAAGAATCATATCTCTATGTCTGTCTGTCTATCTAGATATATTGGTGGATCTCTATTCTTGGGTAGATGATATGAGGCAGAGGATACAATAAATCAGAATAAATGATTTGAGTAAATCAGAGCAGGAGATAAGTTTTTGGACTTTGAGAAATAGACTGAAAATAAGAGAGATATTCGTAGGTACATCTATAGAGAGCTGTCTCAGCACTCATAAATACAGAATGTTGTCTTCATTTAGAATGGGTGAGCTATATTTTTTGTCTGCCACAGATAGATACTCTGAGTTTTATACTATTTAAGATAGTATTTCAAGATGGATGTGTAGAGAAGAGATAAAGAGGTTCCTGGGTGGGGAGAATTGAATAAACAAAAACATGGCACACAAAAGGGAAAGTATGGCTCTATTTAGACAAGAGCAACGAGAGAGTTAAATGTATAAAGGTGAATAAGGAAGGTTAAGGATAGACAGATCGATGCCATTAACGAAAGGTCTAGTATGTGTACTTAAATTTGGAGTTCATTTTGTAAATAATAGGGAATCATTTAAGCATTATGGGCAAGAAATAAATATAGTCATAGCTATGTTTTCCAGGGAATTAATTCTACAGCAGTGGAAAATATCAGAGAGAATGTCAGAATTAGAGTTCAGAGCAGAAGGAACCAGGACTCAGAGGATGGTACTGCTCAGTGGATGGTAAATAACTTAGGGGTAGATGTAGATCATGAAAGGAAATCCAGACCAAAATATGAGCAAAGAGAAGAGGCCCATATTAGTTGGGGTAGACTGAGTGGAATAAATGAAATACTCACATATAATGGGTAAATATAGAAGTGTAGCAGACCAGACTGTTCCAAGTAGGTTGGGTAGGGGGTTGGCCCCGTTCCATAGTTATTCAATGACCCAGACAGACTGTTGCTCTTACATCTTCCTCAGAAGGCTTCTAAAGTCATCCTAGAAGTTGACTTTCCAGGTATCCAGTATGGGAGAAGAGCACGAAGGAACACATGTGGGAGGTTTTAATGGACCAAGTCTGAAAACAGTCCTCACCACTCCTGCACGTGTTCCTTTCATTAGAACGTGGTCACATTGCAAGGAAGTTGGGTAATAAGGTCTACTTGTATGTTCAGGAAGAAAAGAAAAATGATGTTGGTGGATGGCTAGCAGTCCTGGCTATAAAGACCTAGGAGAGAAGCTAAACTTCTAAATGTATATAGATTTTTCTTCCATTAGGATTCTTTTCATACGGTACATTTCCAAATGTGAGATTACTAGGTACATTTGTGAATGTTTTAAATTTATTATATTGCTTCTTTAAATGCCCGTGTGTGGTTGTTTCCTTTTCCCTGTCCCCAGGATCTATCTTGTTAACTTTGAGCTTACTCACAGTGTTTCTGTGTTTTCATGTCTCTTCCCTTATAATCCCTCTTTCTCTCCTTAGATATGGCTGCCTTGGCTCCTCTCTCCTCCTCTCTCACCTTCTTCTCTGGTGACTGTACAAGGGCAGAGAAGTACCAAGTGTAATAGATCAGTCATAGACATGTTCTACAATCTATTGTCTCAGGCTTGAAGAGGTGGGTTGGGGTTTACTGGATTATGGTTTCAGACTCTACTGCACAGAGTCACCTCCAGACCTTTGAAAACTCCTGATGCCCAGGTTTCACCTCAGAGTAATTAAAATAAACTCTTTGGGAACAGTGCCTGAGTAATCTTAGAAACTCCCCAGGTCATTTAATGAGCAGTCAAATTTGAGGACCAGTATGTTAGAACCACTGTGGTAGGAAGCCTCCATCTTTTTCTTTCCCTCTTCCCTCACAAAGATTGGTATTTCTAATCAGATCCCCCACTCCCCAAGAATGAGGTCAGCTAATCAGTCCTCCTGTGTCTGAATCTGGTCAGACTTATCAGCAAGGTGGGATGCAGTGTACCTGGGTTGGTACTTCCAGTGGTTTTTGACCATTTCCCTACTGTGATTTATATTTCAGTTTTTAAAAGAGTTGGCAGGATTTTTGCTGTGTTAAGGATTCCCTAGTATTTGCTGCTGTAATCATGTGTTTTATTTCCATGTTCTCTAGTAGTTTACTCTGTGGATTAGCCCACTAACCCAGTGCCTGGCACCAGTGATGGGGAATAAAATTTTATTGACTGAATAAAGAATAAAAGGATGAAAAATGGATTTTTTTATTCTATAAATGGTTAAACTTTCAAGTTGGATGATAAATTCCCATTAGTTAGGATATTTTAGGTTGTGGAGACCTAGCAAAGAAATGCCTTTTTATTTATTTACTTATTTTTACAGATATTATTCCCACCCATCACTATGTGAAAACTTTGAGTCCAAACCTATAGCTGTTCTCTGTTTGCCACTGGAAGTATTTGAGTAGTTCCAGAAGCAGAGAAATCTTTTAATTTGAAAAATTTAGAAATAATTGGGTGATGACCCTACTGAACTGGCACAATGCTTGAATTAGTGGAAATGTATTAGGCCTTTGAGTACACAGTGACTTTCAACTTCAAACTGAGTTTCAGGAAACCTCTGGCTTAGAAATAGAATTTACCCATTACTGGTATAGATGTGTTTTCAAACAGTCTTAACTTAAAGTGCTTTACTACTGCTATCCTCCTTTGTAGCTAATTTGCTCAGCAAAGGCAATTTTGAATAGAATTTATTTTAATTGTCATGGAATCTGCAGTGTTTGGATTTACATTGTACAATTTGAGGGTTTTTCCTCATCTGTTCAATATATATTTCAAAGATTACCACATCCATGTGTAAAGCTTCTATAGATCTAATGTCTGCTTTAGTTACTGGCTCAAACTTTCCCGAAACTCCTTTTCCCATTTCCAGAATTTTGTTAAGATCAACACCTGCAGTATTTTCAGGGGTAAGATGAAAAGTGCTTAAACTCCTTGGCTTCAACTTTCTTGCATCCAAAATCAAAATTTGAGAGCTTCCCCTTTAAGCCTGAAAGAAGACTGAAGTGTGGTGGTTTCTTTCCTTCCAGGAGAACGCTGTGAACGGAGAGCACCTGTGGCTGGAGACCAACGTCTCGGGAGACCTGTGCTACCTGGGCGAGGAGAACTGCCAAGTCCGATTTGCAGTGAGTGTGCTCCTCAGACTCTGGGCTCTGACCTCGCTGGGGGCGGCTGCCAAATGGG